GCTATATCTCCTGTAAAACTAAAGATGTTTCTGAAATAGCATCATGATCTCATGCTTAAAATAGAGGCCATTCAGGCTTCTACCTACAGTATGTGCAGCCATTGTCACGGCAGTGTTATTGACAGTAGGTACCTGACAGAGAGATCTTTGTTAGACAGGGAACATCTTGCATTTTCAACCCAAGTGTGACATGATCCCTTCTGATGGCTTTGATGGGATTTACCCTTCCATTATTTAATGTGTCACCAGCAAAGAATCCTCCAAATCCACATTACATTTAGCAGGAATTTTGAGAGAGGCTGGTAATCACGTATTCAGTTGATAATTTCAAATAATACACTGCTTTAGGAGAGATATATATTTTTATTCGCTGAGCTCAAAGGGTTATTTGCAACACTGTACGATGTAGCCAATGGGCAACCTGAGAGGAAGAGAGATTTTTTTTTCCTTTTTTTTTTTTTAAGGAAAATGTTTCGTGTTCCAAGTCAAATCAGCCAAATCAATTCCAAATCTGTGACTCATTCAAGAACCATATGTGGCCCTACTACCAGCAAACATCCTCCACCCCACCTGGGGCTTCAGATGCTTCCAAATCATTTGGCAGGCATCCTATGTGCAGGCCCAAGCCCAGAGGCTTGGGATTCAGATGCCCCCGAGTTTCACTTGCCCTCAGCTGCGTGGACACAGGAGCAAGCTAGGGAGGAGTCTCCCATTTCCATAAAGTCGGCATCTAGCCAAGATCTTCCCACTGGAAGTGAAAGTGGGAGGCTAACTATGCATTACCTCGGTCAGGGTACTACCCCCTGCCAGGAAAGTGATTTTCCCCAGCCAGTAGGAAAAGCACCTTGGTGGTCTGGTATTTCCCCTGAGAGACACCTGGATTTCTTGAAAAATGGCTGTTCTGGAAATACATGCATTGTGACCTTACTGGGACTAACAGATCATATATCACAGAGTGCAGGTCAGCTAGAAACATACTGACAATTTCTGCAGGGGTCTGCAAGTCTCCCGGGGCAGAGCCAAAGAAAGCGATGGAGACTTCTATGTGATTGTGCAATCTTTGTAAGCCCACCTTTCCAGGGTTTAAAGGGAAATGCAATGCTCTTAGCTACTGCAAAATTGCTAGAACTCTGCTTATGTAACTCAATACTTTGCCCTTCCAGGTTTTGGGGACATTTATTTATTTGGTGCAGGGAATTCATTTTCATGTGAGAAGGATCACTGGGATTCAGAAAAGGTGGCTGTTTTGCTTTTTGTAGTGGGGAATGAAGGACCAGAGCACAGTCTAGTGGGATAGGCATTCCTCTTCTGGGCTGAGATTGCTTATTTTAAACTTTATTCACATTTGGATATGATGTAATGATGGGCTTGTTTTCAGCAAGTGAGTTAGTAAATCACTTCAAGTATTGTTTCCTGTGCTAATAACCTATAGATAGCATGAGTTTGAACTCACAATGGGATTCCTATTATTCCATCAGAGGACAGTGAGGTTTGCTTCCTTTCTCCAGAGTGCTGTGGGAGTTTAGCTGCCAGACACCCTAATCATCCCGAGAGAGCATGGAGGATCTCTGGGAGTTGCTGAAGATTGAGATGAACTGTAGAGAAGTCCCACATCCCCTCAGGCACCTTCTAGCCCTCCCAGCCCACTTGTACGAGTGCTTCCAAGTGAGCTGACCTGGCTGTGGCTTCATTTACCAGATGCTGCTCCTATAAAGCACATGGGAGGAGATAACCCACCCTTCAGAGAACGCTCTTACCCTCAAGTTGTTCCAGTTTTGTGAACTCATGGCCTGACCAACCTCCACAGAGAGTTACTGGGGTTTGGAGGATTGGTGATACAATGGTTCCTCCCTTCCCTCCCAGGCAGGCAGGATGACGTGGCTCTGTAATGTTGGGGTTTACATGATATTCAGATGTGTGTGGTTCCTATTAAAATAAATCTCAAAAGGAAACAAATGTTATATTGTGAAAGCCTGCCAATTCCAGATCACGTATGAGCTCAGAGTGTTGTGCAGAGAGGCTTTACTCTAAAGACCTTTATAAGAACAGTTCCTGGAGGCGCACACCAATCGCACTAATGACTCCTGATACATGTGATATATGGTTAAGGCTTTCAAAAATGACTGTTGGCTTTGTAGATCTGTTTCTGGGTGCTTATTGTGAGCCTCATTAGAAAGTCACAAAGTGCTGAGGACTCCCACCCCCGGAGAGCAGGCTCCTTCAAGATGTCTTATATTAGACTCCAAAAAACTGAAGCTCCCCAAATCACTTGCCATTTCTGAAAGCCTTGACTTTAAAATTCTTGTAAAAAAAATTGTTAAAAGGGGAGCTCAAGTTTGATTTTTTTTCCCCACAGCAGTAGAAGGGGTTGTAAATGAAAATTAATGGAACAGATGTGCCTAAGGACCCAAGACTGCTTTGAAAAGACTTCTCTTGAAAGCAAATTAGCAGCTAGAATTTTAGCTATGCTATCACAGAATCCTCACCAGAGCAGTCAGACCTCAGCTAGTTATCATGTACACGGGATGCTGACTGCAAAATGCATCACCCCATCAGGAAGGGTTTCTGGAATAAGGATGCTGCATGGCAGGTTTGTGACACACTTAGAAGGAACTGGAAGAGCCAGTGATGTCAGTCAGGGTTTTCGGTGCACCGGGGTTAGGTACATAGCAGCAAATCGCCTTTAACTGGCAGACTCTCTCCATGCTTTCAGAAAGTATCATGATAACTCCAAGATGGAATAAAGCTGCCACTAGGGACTGAACTGCCTTGCCAGGCAGATTTAATTACACGGGGAAAAGACCAAATGTTTTCTACTTTAGGTAAAGACAATTCACCTAATTTAGAACAGGTAATTTAATCTGGGGGCCTAAATTTAACCTTCCTTTTCACATAAATAAAATTATTGATGGGACGATAAGAGATGTATTCCCGATTTCTCAATCACTTATCCTGCCTAAAGTGATTTAGACAGAGGATTGGTTGTCCCCCTAATATAACCTACTTTATATCAGGAGTAACTGTACTGGGGTCAAAGGAAGTATAAATAGCCAGGATCAGCAACCTGTGTAGCTCACAGGCTGGATCCAGCCTGTGAAGAGATTGGATCTGGCCCACAAAGGTGAGGTCTTCAGTACACAGTGGTGGGGGCTGGGGAGCACCTTTTCTGTCCCGGGTCATGCATTTCTCTAATGCATTCTGCCAATATCATCCGCTGCGTCTGGTCTTCCTGCTCTGTGCGGAGGTGCCTTCCATCACCCTGCAATGCCCCACACCACCACATTTGTGGCACCACATCAGTGTCGGAGATGGGAAATGATAATAGCTGGTAGGTGAGGATGAGGATAAGTCGAGTAGAGAGAAGGGAGGGCTGGGGTGCGAGGTCGCAAGAGGCAGCCTGCAATTAAAGGTTGCTGACCCCTGACATTAGTGTGTGACAAATCTAGGTGGGCCATGTCCATGGATTCCCCAAAGTGTGCTAGAAATGGCTCTCCTTCACATATTGCATTTGGTTGCCCCCGGCTGTCTGTAGTGTCGGATTCAGTGCTCATTAGCGTTGGGGTAATATGGAGTAATTCACAGTTACTCTGGATTCATGTTATTGTGAGTCACAAAAGAAACTGGTTTGAAAGAGTCTTCATCATCGCTGACACTGGGGCTACTGACTTATCTTCTTTCTCTGATAGTGGCTGGATGAAAGAGGAACTAATATAGAGGAAGTGCCTCAGGCATCTTTCGAATCGTTTGAGGGACAAGGCGGGATGAGTGCTGTGAACATCAGCTAGAGAAATTGTATCTCTGTCAATGGCAAGTGCATAGGATCATGCTGGAGTCAATAGTGATTCTACTTTATTTTTCATTTATTTCAAAAGAAGGGCCTGTCCATGTGCTCTGTACCAGAGGTGTGATCACTGTATTGTTTTTTATCTTCTCGTTGCTTACATGCAAAAAAAAGCCATGAGCTGTCCATTGATGCTGTGCTATCTCCCATCAGAATACTTTCCACAAACGGCAAATGATGGTTTGGAGGGTTAAGAGATAACCTTTTCCATTAGGTGTCAGGGTGGAGCTTACAGAAGTTACAGTAAAACAAACAAGAGCACCTTTTGATCCATTTGTTTAAACACTTTCTGTGCCCTTTCAGGATAGATGCAACTGAAATACATATCGCCCAGAGAGACTTCATCTGTGTCACTTCTGTTGTTTAAAAGCGTATGTGTACAAAGCGGGTACTGATACAATGTACCAGGCTGCCAACTCTGGAGAGTGACCTCCTATACCCCTATAATACACTTGGTTTCAAAAGACCTCCTCAGGGGTGACAGGATCATGCTGTTTCTATGGCCCAATCTATCCTGGACCAGACGGAGACCAATAGCAACAGGGGTGTGAATTATGATGGGTTTTTTGCAGTGTACATCTCACAGGGATCACCACCTCCTTCCAAAGAGCAACCAGAAAATGTGAATGGCTTTCAGATGTTTGGCTTCGATGACAGAAATGTAAAGAATCAGCTGTTGTGAAATGTCTGTTGCTGGAATGAGAAAATTATCCTCTTCTAGCTTTGGATTTGACCCAGAATCAAATCTATTGGGCCCAATTTGGATCCAGTTACTCAACTCTGTGCCCCTGGGAAATTTAAGAAAAAGGGGGTTCAGGCCCATCCCAAAAATATTAACAAAGAAAAATTACGATAAGGTGCAGCACTGCAGAGCCACAGTGTCAAATTCTCCTTTCCCTTACAGCCACAGAAACCACGATGAATTCGATGAGCTGTTCATGAGAAAAGAGCTGGGCCCCTTCGCCTCCCCGCACACATTTATTCACTTTCTTGTGATATGCTGGACATTCAAGTCAAAACTGGTTGCATGCTACAGAGTGAAAGCTCTTCCCCCCTGCAGCTGCAGTCCTTTAACACTGCTGCATACATGTAATTACTCCCTGCCCGCGCTCTCCAAACTGGGGCCAGATGCTGCTGGGGGTGATTAGATCAGCTGAAGTCAGTGGGACTTTTGCTTCCAGTAAGCAGTGAGCAATGACTGTGGGACTGCCCCATTAACTCTTCTTGCTTAGCTATAAATGCAGACAGAACTGGAATGAAGCTGTTCTTCTCTGTGGCAACACAGCCAAGGAGATTTTAAACCAAGGATCAGTCACTCAAAAACCACTGAGGCAGAGTTTTCTGATGAGGGGGCGCACAAGGCACTAGGACCTAGGAGAAGTCTCATCCACCCTGGCAGGAATTTCTTGCTTGGAGCTCAGACAACAAAGGCAGAGGGAGCTTGGTTTTCTTTCTCTCAGCATCTCCACCCTGCGAGCTGAAAACCGGTGAGTAGAGCTTTTATGAGTGACTTCTATGCAGAAAGAAACAGATGTCAGATACAAAAGGGAAACAAGAAACCTTCTTTTAAGTGTGTCACAGCATCTGCAGCTTCCAAAAAAAATCCTGGAAAAACCTCCCATTCATTTGGAAAGTTGCTTGAATATTCCACTGCATTATGCATGCCATGAAAGCACATGTATCATAATTGGCACTGAGAGGGGAAATGTTTGCAACTCGGGATTTATGTGAAAATTGCTGGCATTACCCATTGCTGCTCTGCTGCATGTTAGAGACAATAATGAGATCTTGGACAGGTCACGGTGACATTGTAAAATACAGAAAATGGGACCTGTTCTGGCAAATCTGATGGGTGGGGAAAGAGAGCAACAGCTTTTTCTAGGATTGGGAGCTGATCGCTGAGCCACTAGATTTTAATCCCATTTCTGTCTGGTGTGAACACACTGCTAACGTATGTGAGGTGCATGTTAAATAGTTTTTGCCCAGTGGAGTGACAGCCTTGGAAGGTTTTCTGTATTGCAAGTCTAGGGGGAGTCTTTTGCTTTTATTGCATTATTGTTTCTTTGGTACTAAGTTTCATTTAAAGAAAATACAAATATCGCCCATCCTTGGTTTTGATCCCTGGCTCAGTGCAATTTTCCCCAGAGGGCTGCCTTTCTTGGGCTCCAATCTCTCTCTTTCTCTCCCTCCCTGTAATACACCACAGCTCAGAACAATGAAAGGTGTGCTTGCAGTGGCATGATGTGAATACTTGCACAAGGATAGTTTCCACAATGAAATCACTTCCTTAAGGATGGGAAGGTTTGGGTAAAAAAAAAAAAAAAAAAAAATAGATAAAAGAAATACCCCATTTATTTTCTTTTTTCCCCCTTCTGATTAAATAGGACCAGAACTAAATCCAGGACAGATTTGTGAACTGACAATAGCTCATCGAACCCTCATAGCAATGACAGATTTTTCAGACTTTTTTTTTTCTTGGAATTGTAGGATGGTCTCAGAAATTGATTGATGGGCTGGGAGCAGGGCTGGGGAGTGGGGGAGGGAGTGCTGTATCTGATTGCTAGCCCTTATTGACCAGCCTGTCACAAAGAAAATGGCTATTCCCCTGTGACCATTCTTTCAGAAATACCAGTTTTGTCTTCATTTGAAATATTCAGACACATTAAGTCCTTCTGTGATTCCACAGATTGAAACCTAACTCAGAGGGATATGCTCATTCTCTGCAGCCAAAGAAAATCTTGCAAGGCTCAAGGGTTTAATTCATTACCAACCGTTGTTGTTTGGACAAGATTTGGGAGTTCTGCTTATCATTTCCCTGCAGTTATCCAGCCCAAAGTCTCATTTTACTGCACTTGGAAACAGCAAGGAACTTCAGTGTGCAAAGTCTAAGCTGCTATTCAAAAATATATCCCCTCCCCCATAATTGGATCCTTTTTAAAAAGCCCAAGATCCCTCCCTCTTTCCCCCCCACCCCCTAGAATCAATACAAATTTAGGTCAGGGTGAGCAGGATACAGGTCACTTTTAAAATAAACCAATTCTGCTCTCAAAAAGCAAAAGCCCAGGCATGGAGTGCATGTAATTTCTCCCAGATTTTGGTTTTGATCAGTCTAATATATTGTTCATATTCTTTCCTCCTCATTTCCCTCCACTCAGCTTCAGATCTTTAGGGGTCACCAAACTATGGAACTTGATTTTGGACACTTTGACGAAAGAGATAAGGCGTCCAGAAACATGCGAGGCTCACGTATGAATGGCTTGCCCAGCCCCACTCATAGTGCTCACTGTAGCTTCTACCGAACCAGGACCTTACAGGCACTGAGTAATGAGAAGAAAGCAAAGAAGGTGCGTTTCTATCGCAACGGGGACCGCTACTTCAAGGGGATTGTATATGCTGTGTCCTCTGACCGCTTCCGAAGCTTCGATGCTTTGCTGGCTGACCTGACCAGGTCCCTGTCTGATAACATTAACCTGCCTCAGGGAGTTCGTTACATCTACACGATTGATGGAGCCAGAAAGATCGGGAGCATGGATGAACTGGAAGAAGGTAATTAGCAATGTCCGACGGTTGAGTTACGGTCAGGTGAGGAGGTGGGGGAGAACTATGTAGCACTGTTTGGTTGTGACTCGACAGTCACATTTCTTCTGTGGCCAATAGATGACACTATACTGTTGTCTGTATTGTGGAGTTGTAATTCATTGAATGGGCAGCCAGAGCTTTGGGGAAGTGACTGAAAAGCATTTTAGAAATAAAATAAACTATGCAAATACAAAAATGAGGCAGTGTGATAGAAAGTGTGTATGAGTGCGTGTGTGGGAAGGGGTTCTGCATACCTGTAGTTGAGGCACGTAAATATACAGGCATATCTGGGTAGGGGTGTTTCAGTGGATATGGTCAGAGGTGTGCATGTCTGTGTGCCTGCAGTTGCAGGTGTAGTGCACGGTATACTTGGGGGTGACTGTGTGTTTGAGGGGACTGCACAGTATATCTCTCATGGGAGTGTATGGGAGTAATTTTTGGGCACACTGTATCTGTATGTGGATGTGTGCAAGTAGCATAGGGGTTGTGTAGGGGGAGGAGTTGGGCGCAATAGTTTAGTGGAGGTGTGTTTGTGTGAATTGTATCTGTGTAGCCGAGAAGTTTGCACTTTATGACTATGGGTGTGTTGGAGGAGGAATTGCATTCGGTGGGGATATTCGGTTTGCCTAGAAAGGGTTGTCTCTATTTGGAAGGAAGATTTGTGAACAATATACAGAATCACATCAGTATGTTGGAAGGAATATGTACAGCATGTCTGAAGGGTTGGGTGTTTAACACTTCTGGAAATACGTACATATGTAGTGGGGGGCAGGGAGGGTGCACACAGCATTTCCCTAGGGCTGTGTCCTTTATCTTTGCCACCGATATGCAGAATACGTCTGTATGGGCGTGCCCATGTCTCTATGGGCGACTTGCACAGTACATTTGTGGGGGTCTTTTCGCATGTCTCTATCTCTGTGATGTGCATAGCACATCTGTGTGGGTGTGTCTATATATCTCTGGGGGGCTATGAACCAGGCAATTGTGAGCATGTTTGGGAGTTATGTGTACAGCATGTCTGTGTGGCCATGTCCATGTGTCTCGAAGGTAATATGCACAGTAGGACCATCTGGGTGTGTCCGGGTATCTTGGGGAGGATTATGCAGAGTGTTTCTGCAGGCATGTCCGTATATTTGCCAGTGATGTGCTTTGTATGTCTGTAGGCTGTACTGGGAAGGAAATATGCATGGTATTTTTGTAGGGTATCTCTCTGTATGAATGTGCACATCGACTAAAGGTAGATTTCATCCCTGGAATGTCTTTGTTCCTGTGTGTGCGTTTATTACTTGTTGAATTGTTGGAATTGCAAATTGTTCAAAATGCCATCTGAAATTCAGCTTCATCAGGAAAGCCTGGGCAGGCTGTTCAGTTTGTCCTTGCTCACCAGAGATCTTTCTGCCACGTGACTTACCTCTGAATCTGTGGACTGCCATCTTAAATCGTCTTATTCTCTGGAAATGCCATTAAGACTTTCCAGAATGATATCACAACCTGGTCACTGCCACTATCTTATGTTACCACCTTGGGATGAGTCTCTGCAAATGACATAATTCTATGTAATGACAGAGATGAGGACATCCACCATCATTCTGGTGCTCTCTAATCAATTAAAAAATCACCTGTTTGGTTCTTTTTTGGATTTACGAAGGCAACATTTATCTTGATACTGGTTATTTCCACATCTTGACAGGTATTTTATTTCAAACAGACCTGGCCCATTCAGTGAAACTATTGGGCAAGTCAGTGGCAATGCATAGGGGGTGCACGTGCACCCTCTGTGAGCACTGGTGCACCCTCTCACAGGCTGCGCTCCCCACTTAGGCAACGGGCAGGGGGGGCAGGGGGGAGCACCACTGTCCCCCCTGTGAGCACCGGCCAGGGAGTGGGAGTGCTGGATGAAGCACTGCGGCCACTTCCGGGAGTGCCATGGCTGCTTCCTGGTTGGTGAGATTGGCTGTGAGGGGACACCCTGCTGCCCCCTGCCAGTCACTGGGGGGGCATGTGCCCCCCTAAGGTGGCACCAGTCGCCCATGGGGACAGTCACAAAGCCCTTGCCTTTTTAATGGGAGGCAAAATGTTGTAAAGTACTGCCTATAACATCAAGAGCTTTCAGGCTAGGAACGGAAGTTGCAAGTAAACCGGTGTAAGTGATCAGCAACTGGTTCAGATCTGTAACAGAACAGAAGTTGTGTGTGCATAAACTGCTTTCAAACTAGCCAAAACTGGTTTAAGATAAACCTAGTTGAATGTAGTATCAGACTTAACTGATTTAGGTTAAATTGGTTAATTGAACTTCTGTCCCAGATCCCCTCCAGATTCAAGTTAACTCGCAGTCCTCCCACATCCCAGGATGCTTTGTACCTCCCCCACAAACCCCCCTCACAGGGTCCAAGCTATCTGCTCCAGCCAAGTATGGAGCCGTGCTCTAATACCGCCCCCCTCCCCACCCCCCCAGCTTCTGGCCTGAGGCACTCCAGGCATGTGGCTGCATTTCCAGAATCAAAATGGATGTCTGTTCACTTGCTTATCAATCTACACAGCTTAGACTAACCTGTGAAGATTGAATCGATTTAGCCTCAGGCTTTTTGACTGTCTGTACTTGGCCTCAATGTGCAACACTGAAGATGGTTCTTTGTGTCTTTGTGCCCAGATTTTGTCATGTGTAAAATGGGAATATAGATGTTTGCTCACTTTCCTACAGTAACTTTTTAATGAAACAGCCTCCGAATAAGTCCTATGCCAAGTATTATTATTCAGAGTTTTACTAGAAAAGTATAAAGGTTGTCTTACATGAATCTCTGTCTTTGGAAATTATATACCTTATCAGTGTGCCATTGCAATTAGATTAAGAATTGATTTCACACAGATGGAGGTGTGATGGTTGTTTGGTTTTTTTTGGGGCGGGGGGGTTGGCAAACTAATGATGTCACACATCCAGTTTCAATCTTTCAGTGTCCTAGTAGTGGAACTTGGGAATGGTGAGGAGACGCACACCAGCCCTGGGCACCATTTTGGTGAGGTTGCCAAAATAGCAGTCCCATATGGGCAAGGTGCCGGGAGCTTGCACTGGCCCCAGCCCAGCAGCATTCAGGGAGCTAACCCTGCCTCCTGCCTCAGTGAGGCAGCATGCAGGGAGACAGCCCTGGCAGCAGCTGCTGTAAGGTAAGACCCTCCCATACCTGCCCCCACAACCCCTCCTCTCCACTGCTCTCAGGTGCTTGGTACAACAAATCCACACCCCTGCCTCCCTACAATCTTGCCCAGGATGCAAAAATCATTCTGGTATATCTTAAATATTCCTCACAGGGGTGTACCAGCCCCACACAATCATAGAGAAGTAGGGTTGGAAAGGACCTCCATAAATAATCTAATCCAACCCCCTGTCTGAGCCAGGATCATCATGTTGCTGTCTAGATTTTGCTTTTTCTGTAACTTTTTTTTCTCTGTTCACTAATAACTCCAGAAAAAGAACCTAGTAATCCCTGTTGTTTTTTTCCATTTTTGGCATGGGTGTCAAGATATCTGTCGCATTTTGTTTTTATAAACATTTGCATGGACGTCACTATCTTACTTTTTCAGGATTATGGTACATTTCTGCTGGCATCGCTAAATTAATTGCTTAGATTACAGCAGGGGGTGCTGACGCTTGGATTTAGCTTGTCGCACCAAAATGGCAATTTAAAAAATAGCATCAATGAAATGATTTTTGAAAAGCAATTCTTTATTTAAAACATAGTTGACAGTGTGGCAGTATCCTCCTTCAGAACCTCAGCCAATGAAAACATGGATCTGAATGGAATAAAAACAAAGGAAGCCCCACCCAGGAATGAAAATGTAAAGTTAACAGCTTGTTGCCTTACCAACTGCTGATGATAATATTCTCATGTCACTACCGATAATCTGCTTTCAGAAAACCAGAAAGAATAAAAAACTCTTTGGTCCTAAGACAGTCACTGTAATCACACTGCATTTACACTGCAGTTGCATGGTAATTGTTTCATGTAACCCATGCATCTAATTTTAGTATTAATGGTCAATGAAAAATAATTGGGATGCAACTACAATATAACAATATTTGCCATGTTATGAAGTATAACTGGGAAAGGTAGTCACCAAAGGGAAAGACTGGTCTTTATAAACTACTTTTTATTAAAAACATAAAATTAGTAGTACTAAGTTCTGCATTCTGTGTTCTCTGATCTATGTCATATAGACATGTGCTGTAATATGGTGGTACCCTAAATACACCTTAATACAACCCTATATAAAATGTACCATGCTACTTTTAAATCTTGCAACTATCCTGACCTTATACAACCTTCTGCTCTTCAGCTTGTGTATCTCAACAATGAAGAGAAACCCACAAAACAAGTGTAGTCTTGAGTCCCAATTAAATGTTTCTTCCAGGCTTCCAACAAACTTAGAAGAATGGACAGCGATAGCATTGAACCATTCTCCTCAACATGGTTCTGGGTTAAATTAGTCCTCTTTGCTGTCTGCAATTGGGCTGTTACAAGTCTTTCCTACAACACTAACTGCATCACCCTCCCTTTTTTAATACCATCTTTGACTAATGTTCTCTTTCCACACCAGGCTGAAGTTCCTCATCCTCACAGTGCAGGCTCATCAATCATCATACCCTTTGCCCGTATGTACTGATCTCCCTTGCTCCCATGTTCTTCCTATGCCTAAATCCTTCATTTTCAAGCCTGGCTTTGTACTTTTGTTCATACTGCCTCCTGGCCCTGGAGTACTCTCTCTGCCTTTGTCTCTCAACTGCCTTCTCTTCCTCCTCAAGAGCTTCCGTTAAAACCCGTCTTCTCATGCAGTCCCACCACCTTGCTTTTTCACCCATAATCCTCCAACCTTGTTCTCCTCAGCTTGTTCCATGATTTGGCTTGCTTCAGTTTTTTACCACAAGAAACATGTCTTAATTTCTGTTTGCAAAGCAGTGGATATCTTTATGG